TAATGTACTTAGTGTACTTAAGTTTACTACACTTATAAAGAGTTTGAAAATGATCAAACCATTTCGGAAAGCTTCATACCATCGCAATGACTGGATAAATGTGAATCATCTAGTAACTAGCTAGCATCGGTAACGACTTCGAGCGCCGACAGATGGTGAGATACGTCGATCGGTCTCGTTTTTTTTGACGATCGAAATGGATTTCTCCATATCGTTACTGAATCATTTCGGGAGGTACTCATGTCTTCTTGCTTGGCTGCCAAGTGATTTCCTTAATTCACCCGACTTGACAAGAGAATAAATACATGGTGACAAAGGAAACTCAGAAAAACTCTATTTAGGAAGTACCACCCATACTGATCGCCTCTGAAGCAAAGTGCTACTATCTTGTCTTAGTCACCCCCGACTGCTTGATTGATATGTTACTGTCTTTAACTGTCAAACTGATGAAAATAGCATCTACTCTGTTGTTGTCATTACTGATTGGGTAGTTATCATTTCTAAGTTGTCATCTAAATACCTCCGTGATTATCCGTTTGGACTCAGTACACCTTAAAGACGTTATGATTCATTGTATAAAAGGTCTGCCTGTATAACTACATAGCTTTCTCGCACAACCGGTAGGAAAACAAATCTTTTCATTCCAGTGGAACAAAAATCAGAAAATGAATTTGCTGCCCAGTTCACATTTTTTATCAGGAATAGATCTTTGAATTGATGAATCTATTTTGTGAAGCATTGTTGCATCGAGAAGACCGGAAGCATTCCATTGAATTCCTATAATTCCCAAAGAAACTGACAATTGTATATCATCTAAGTCAAAACTTAGTCACTGAGCTGTAGTTGCATTCGTGCAACGAACTCACAGTGTAACAACTCAAAACATGCACAAGTGAATCAGAAGGAACAGAGTCAAGGTCGCCCAACGTGAATGCAGTACTATCGCCACGTGATTCGTTGAGCGTGCATGTCGGATGATGATGTGTACAGGAATATAAACAAGACCGATTAACACATACACCAGCAAACCAAAAACAAGGCCACCGTTTGTTGTTGGTTTGCGTACGAACCACTGGCATTCATACACTTGCAACCGACAATGTAACCGAACGCTTGATAATCGGGTGCTATTCCCACAATATTGATTGGGTGCACCATTTTGTCGCTGGCACGCAAGGTTGATTTTGGCACAAAGTACTTTCAGTTTTGCCTGTGCGATCACCGGTCATCACTAATCCGCGTGCAAATGCACACGCCTTCGAGGGTCAACGGGATAGAAGTTCGGGAGTCTGTTTATTCTGGACGATCTGATACTGATAATGATGATTAGGTTGTGACAGTTTATCTCGTGAAGTATTCTTTCTGAAGTCATCAACAATAATTAACAAACGCTGATACAGTGAATTGACTCGTCAGTACTGAGACAATCACGTGATCCACTCTCGCTTGTAAGTAGCTGATGGTGGGGTTGGCTGAAATACCAGGAAACCAGTTCAGCAATAGTCCACCAGTTTTTCATATCGAAAGTATGGCTGTGCACTGCGTGGTTCATCAGGGATAGCACTGATCTGTGTGAACTCATAGTACAAACTCGTCTCCAAAGATGATTGCACAACACATACCAAACGTTCCATTGGCTATTGATTACATCGGTTGGGAAATTTCAACAGAGACTCATGCTCGGCAATTATTTTTTGACAGTTCCTTATAATGCGGAGCAAATGGTGCCTACTAGTCGATAAGAATACCACTCAATATGACACAATAATGCTAAACTTCTTCGGAGTGTTTCTTCGAAATCCATGACAGCTGCAGGCAAATTAATATTTTCCATTACGCTCATCAATGGTCTATCATGCATACCGCATACAAGAAGGACATAGCGGAAGTTTTCTCATATCGAGGTCAAGCAGTTCAGCTTTCTCATTTGACCATTCATTGTAAACGGGTTGTAGACCGTTCGAATAACAGCCTACACATCTAATCATCCATTAGAAGATATGGGAGAATGTAAAATTCTGAGCGGATGTGTGCAAACTTTCAATGGTCCCCCTGCCTTCTGTGCAATATTACAAGGAAGGATTCTGCAGTATGCTGCCTCGGGGTGGATGAACCGTTGTCAAGTATCGAACGGATGGTTTCAACTATTCAAAGACTCATGCACTATTTGCAGCGATGATGGTGTAGTAATCAAGTACGCGAGAATCTGCGTATATGTACTGTCCCTCAGAATAACTTTAACTTAGGTAAAGCCGGCACCGTCCATATCGTGCGTTGCCTGAAAAAATGCTAGATGTCGGTGGACAATAATGAAAAGTTAGAAAATGCGATTTCGATTTTGTTCACTTCTATAATAACGTCACTAACAGGTACGGTGGGGGTGTTTCTATAACCTAGGCAAACTGACTGTAATGCAACCTAGGTTACGGTACATTTGAAACACTTGATAAAGCGTATACCTGTAACCTACTCAATAATTATGACTTCACCTTTACACTATTACATTTCATAGCTGCCGCTGGTGAGTTCTGAAAAAAAATGAATCAGGCTATGTGGGATTACAAACCTTGATTCTAGTGAAATCCAAAATTTCTGACTCACGCAATCGATTTAAACAGAATTGGAAACATTATGAAAGGTTGCTTCAACCACTTTCGTTATTTCGTAGTTAAATGATAGTCATTTGTGAAGTGGTTGTAGTTATGTCAACATATGTTGCTCATTCTGAACACAATTCATTCAACTTCTAACAAAGTATTGATGAGTATCATGAAATTTTTTTTCGTATGGATTGAACTTCACCAATGAGTGACTATGGCTGTCGCATTCCCATTGACTTTCCAGCCAGCCGGTTTTGAAAAGAAGCACTAGACTCGAGTTTCACTCTTGTTAGAGTTCCTCCGTCGTGTATATCGTTGTCATGGCCTGGGCTAGAACTCTGGTCACTGCCTTACTAACCTCACATTGGGTTCTACTGAATCATCTACATTTGCTTGTAAGTAGTGCCCACATTGCCCTATCGCCTCGAGAAGAGACATGGTAACTGTCCTGTTAACTCCAATCGTCAACTAGTTGCCTAGCAAAGACGTGGCTGGAGTTATAGTGGTGGCCGTCGCAAGGATACGCACTACTAATGAATTCTAGCAATGCATTTCGTACCATGCATCTTACCATCAATCGATCAGCAGTGCGTATGGAGTGTAACACTGTTCTCCGCACTACTACTAACCACACACACCATCAATTGGTCAGCTAGGTAGCTGCGTTAATTACATAAGTATGCTCTGACTAACGCACGCTTCAGTAACATACGTGGTCATCTAGTCTGTGCAAGCATGCAGGGGATGTGACTGACTGATCAACAGCCGATAGGTTGACTTAAGCGACAAAACACGATAGCTCAGTTACACTCAATAAATTACTCATCACTGGCCACAAATAACGCTGAGTTGACGTTTGCTTTCAAAGTGACACTATTTACGAATGTAATGATAATGTATTAAACAAGCGTCAACTTAGGCACACCGGAACTTAGCTTGATTTTCAAGGAACAGGCCATCGTATGCACTGACATTGAGAATGGTATTATCACATGAAAATATCTGCAAGATGTTATCATGGTCTCTATCTGCTCGACTTGTAAGTCTAGATAATTTCGTATCATTATTCCAGGTAAAGATCCTGCGATATGCTGCTTAGGGACGGATGACGAAGAAGCTATAGTCAGGCATGTGAGAATGTGTATGGTTGTATTGTGCCCAGAATATCTTGAACCCGGCACCTCCTTTACAGTGCGCTGCCTGTCAAAACGTTAGAAACCGGTGGACAACATTGCAAAAGTAGAAAATGTGATTTGGATTCTGTCCATCTCTACAACAACGTCACTTAACAGATACGGTGGAGATGTTTGTATTACCTAGACAAATTGACTGTATCATGCAGCCGATGTTACGGCACATTTGAAACACATGATAAACCGTACATCTATATCCTATTCAACAATTATGATTTCACTTCCACACACCTACATTTCATAGCTGCTGCTGGTGAGTTCTGAACCAATTTGGTCGATGCTATGTAAAATGATGGGCCTTGTTTCTAATAAGTTCTGATATTTTCTACTTACGTAATAGTCTAAAAAACATTATGTGCACCGTTCACTAGAGTTTACCTGAAACCGTTCAGTGTCTATTAGTATCATAGTGACTTCTCAGCTAGTATTTTAAAAAAAATTAGTCCTTTCTGGGTTCCGTAAACTCATTGTCAAGGTAGCGTTATACTGTGCCCCAAAAAGCTCCATAATTCAGCGTCTGGATTTCCTTCTCAAGGCAAGACCAAGGACCACTACTGGGTTTTTCCCATTCTGCACGGTAGATGTCTATGGCTGCTTTAGCCAGCTTAAGGTAATCGAATGGTTCGTATCACTAGAAGTAAGACAATGCTTTGGAATGTTCAGTGGACACGCACATCGACCGAGCATGTGCAAGCAGAGGTTGACTGACAGCGAGCTGTGTACAAACCATTATCTGAGCACAAACTTAGGATGCCACTACCGATTACTCATTACCGTCTGACAGTAGATAAACTGTCGACAAAACCATATTGCTCTATGATACCGCATTCGACGTGAATGTTTCAGATCGTGAAACTATTCTGTTTTTAGGCAAGGCTAATTCGACAGTTACACTGTGCTTGACAACGCACACACAAGTAACGTCGTTAGCGTCTCCCGCAATAATCAATGCAATTTCCTCTGAAAACCATCCAATCCATGTAGTAACAAGCAGACAGTGAGAAGTCCTCCTCTAAGAAAACAGACGTAACTCTTGAGGTAAGGTTGATGGGTCCCCCGTTCAGGTGGCTTTGGTAATCACTGGACGAACCCATAAACCAGCCAGCTATATACGACTGAACCGAGCAAAATAAACAGTTTAATTTCACTACTAATGAATAGTTCGGCAGGTTTGTGATTTGGGATGAGACCCAATTGTGAAAAGTCAGGGCTTCGGCTGGATTCGAACCAGCGCCACAAACACTATGCCTCAACGCGACAAGCGCTGTGCCAGCTGAGCTACGAAGCCATCCCATGAGCTCGGAAATTTCATATTTGCACTCGGTTACCCATGCGTCATAAATCTGCCAAACTACTCAATAGTAATTCATTTTCTTTGCTCAACAGTGGCGTTAGTAGATTCCAGCGTGAACTGTTCAAGAAATCCTACCAGGACAGTCGATCCAGTGGACCATTTGGGGGAATCTATATGAGACAGTGGGACGGGTGGACAACCGAGCCCAAATGTGAAATTTCCGAGCTCCTAGCGTGGCTTTGTAGTTGAGCTTGTACAGCACTTGCCACGTTCAGGCATGGTGTTTCTGTTGCTAATTCGAAACCAGCCGAAGCCGTGACTTTTCACAATGGGGCCTCACCTACAACCTGAATTTCAACTCAAGTTGAGTCCAAATATCGATATGAACGTGTCTTTCGCGTGATCGATAAATGTATCCGACCTATGTATTCATTAGCAACGACCACAAACCGCTGTCAGCGTTTTGTGTTGTGGACTGATTCGGAGAAAAGCAGACAAAACCAGCGTTCCTCTTAGGCTCAGCCTTATGTACGTACTATGCGTTATGAAAAACAGATAAGAGGATTTGTTAAATGGAAATCCTCTCAAAATGGTTAATCATATTTTCGATGTTCTACACATTTTGTTTGCCTCAACTCTCTTAAACAGTGAACGGCCGGAACAGCACATTAACGAGTACCATCCTAATGATCGACTTTATATCATTCTCTTGTTCTGTGCAAACTAATCAATGGCCTATTTTTCACACTTGACACTCCTACAGCTGCGTATGATGATGATGGTGAGTAACATTCAGCAATACGTGCAAGGATGCAAGAGCATTTGCTGGTTGATTGAATAACAATAGTTTTGGATTACCTGCATTGCAAAAACGACCTTTAAGGATGAAAACTAACATTCTCTTGAGAAGTGCCATGAGGTGTTTATCCCATCCCACATTAATGCATTATCGATCATGAATTCTGTACATCGACCGTGTTACCTGTTACTTACTTGCAGATCTAACTTTAGTAGATCCCGTTGCAAATTTGAATTTTTCTAAAAGACAGACAAATACTCTACGCATGCTGTCTGATGCAGTTCAACTGAAGCGTATTGACCTTCTGTGTCGACCAGTACACCATATGGTCAGAATGTTTCCACTATCTGCTTGGATACCAATCTCTGAAGCTATCCAGGCTTCTCAGCTCTCAATAAAACCCTTCGTGCTTACAATCCTCCGAGCCTACTGATCATATCATTCGTAAATGCCGACAAAGACAGTCAGCCTATGTAGCCTGTACTTTAGCCCTTAATTGAGTTCACTGTTGTGTTGGTGACAATATATCTACTCGTAACGGATTCCACATGGGAATAAAAAGATTTTCAGCTCTTGTGTGTAATAAGCTTTTAAGCCAGATTTGAGTTCCATTATGGTTAGAAAACGTGAGTGAGACACGTCTAGGTCTGTGTACATGACCTTAGGTTCGAACTCGATAGGGTTGAAATTCGTCGTGGACAATTCATTTACTTGAGACGAATTAACAAACAGGCGTTAACAACGTGCAACTGACACAAGCTTTTGGCCAACTGTTGAAACCTTTATAGAAGTCCAGTAATTCACTGTTTTGCTCCCTCTTCCTATGCCTGTATTCCACGGTTACCAACAAGTGTCAAACTCATACAGACTAGCCGGTGTCGGCCGGTAGATTGTTGTATTAACTTATATCGAAATGTCGCCGTAGTCGACTCCAGTCACTTTTTGTAATCCACTCAAGTTTGGCCCAACAATTAATCGGGATCTGCTTCATATAATATTTACGGTTGAGCGCTAATTCACAACCGTGTACTGCTGCTGTTCCTGTAACCATATATTACATAGTCTAGACAACGGTCGATCAACTGATTCAGATTAAGTGCCCCTGTTAAACGCTTTGTTCCCCACGAGACTGTTTCTGAAATCACTAATAGTTGGCAGTCATGACGTAACAGCTAAGACTTGCGGAAAATCTCTCTGCAAACAAAATTTTTAATGAAAATTGGCACATTGTTCCCTTTGTTGACGAACAGTGATTGTATTCAACAGTGTTCAGTCAAAGAGATTTGTCTACTTCATGAACCGCCTTATCATAAAAATTAAAAAAGGTTACGGTACTACACCTTTTTTGCTGACAAGCTGAAAACATCAACTTTCACTATTAAACGACCACTCAGTTCTAGAAAACTTTGGGCTGAACTTTGATTGAACAGTTTTTCTTATAAAAGGAATCATACACAGCAGTGCAAAGAACAGCCACCACAACAGTTACGGATAATCAGAGGATATCGGAGTAATAGCACGCTAAGGCTCCCGGCCAACGTTGTTTGGTCACATACATATTGAGTGCTTTGAGAACAGTTATGTTTCATCGACTAGGCGATATCATAGATTCTGCTGAGTCGCATTGCCAGTGGTTTGGATGCAAACCAGTGTTCATACCTAATAACTGTATGTCCAACACCTAGTTTTGCGTGTACATTGTCGATGTTATACCGAGAATATGTGAACTGTTCTGGTAATCTTAGAATACATGGAATTTGTCGTGAAAGATAACAGCCATGAAGTCAGTCTTATGTTTCCGCCGAAATTTTACCGTTAAACGCATACGATTTCTTGTCAGCATTGCTTTACAATGTGTCAAATGACCACAGAAGAAGACAATAAACTTTTAGCATCCTAACATTCAGAACTAAAACTGTCTCGGAAACGAAATTGCACCGTAATGATGTACGATTAATGGACTTAGGAGCTGTACTGTTCGATGATTAAAGAGTTTAGAATAAATGTAATTTGTTCCATCCTTTTAAATGTCTCACAAACGACCAGAAAACGACTAACCTTGATACATAGGCCGAAGTTCACTACCTTCTTCAGAAGATCATGCTGAAAGTCTATTTGTGCACTAAACTCAAGCAGATTAATTACCAAATCATCGAAATAAACGGGCTGCTAAGATTTGCTCCAGAAAAAAAAAGAAATTTAATATGCAGTGAGTAAGCCCGTTGGTTCATCGAAATGACTTTATGCCACTTCTGTGCACTTCAAAACTAGAGAGTTCTTATGGTTGATATTCAGTTTAAGTGTTGATTTGAACTCAGAAACGCTCGTGGTATCAGAAGCTAACTGCTATACTAGTCGTTTGTATCTCTCTGCTTACACTGCTTATTGCTGTTTTCCCTTCGCATGCACGGCAATCTGTGGCATTTTCAGATGGTACGTATTAAAATTTTTAAACTTCCAGAGTGTTCTAATTATCTCTGGTGCACTTAGCTGCGTCCCCCTGAACGCCAGAATCTTTTCTGTTTCTATATGAGTCAGCTCACATCTTCTTGGACAGCGCAGGTGCAAAATTGGATGCTAATTATGTGGCGCTTAGTCGAGTTCGCTCCCAGACAACACATTATACTGGCAAATAACTGGTAGCGTATACTCAGTTCGCAGAGGACCTGAGGTCTCTGTGATCAGACAATGTTGGGCCATGTCATCAGCCTAAGGATGCCACACCAATCCCGGACTATCTAACAGTTTTTCGATGTTATGCTGATATTGTTGTGTCGTTGGCAGATTGATTATGAAAAAGATGCCGCTTAACAAAACAGTAACCGCATAATTTTTCCTTCACGTGTAAGCAGGAAGGATCACAAATCGTTATGTGAATACTATTTCATAAGATTGTTCATTTTACTTCCGAAAGTTGGTTCTTGGCCAACATTTGACATCTGGTACTGTTGCTTGGTCGATCAACAACCCAAAATGTACATGAGATGAGTACTTGTCAGTTATAACGCCAGAAACTGAGAGAGCCGGTTTTCGAAACTGCTGTTACGGATCCAACGCTGCCAGGTCGGACAAGCAAGGACGCTCCAGGTCATTACAACTGCCTCACTTACAAGCATCAATTGTGAGGTAACCAGTGGTAGTCCAGTTTTACACAAATAAGTAATTTAGAAGAGATCCATTTGGCCAGCCGAAGTCCAGATTTTTCGCAAATGGATCTCTTCTAAATTATCAAATCTACCAAAGTACTTATCAGTAATGCAAATAAGTAAAACTACGCTGCATATTTGGACTAATCGTTCTGATTCAAGTGGCTGACCAAGGGATGTACGCACTTTTTCGTTTAAACATCTCACTTGAGCACACTATTTACTGATATAATGACAACGAATTTTAGTTCCATTAAGTGATGGGTACATATGTTTGGCAGCGTCCGTTTCACATCAGCCTGTCACGATGACCGAATCCAAGAGACACCTACGCATAACACTTGCCATATGTGGCTTGCTGTACATCATTTGTAGTTCCACTTACACCTCGTATCCAATCTTAACTAGAAGGAACGAGGTTAAGAGGGGTATGAGTGAGGCCTTTGTGACCAGCCGGCCAATTAGGCATTTGACAGGTTAGTAAGAAAGTGAAGCCGTCATCTTTCGGAAAATAATCAAACAGAGAGACTCCAATAGAAAGATCTAAAGCGAGAAGGACGATACTGGAAATAAAACAAGATGTAGTACAATATAGAAAAGGACAAGCCGAAAAAAATTGAGGTTCGAACGAGAAACAAAACGAAACTTTTATTATACACTGCAATAGAAAAGTTGAAAGAAAGAATGGGTACAGGACCACATCAGCCGAGGTTTCTGCAAAGCAGAGCGGGTGATTTATCGAATGACGACTGTCGTTGGTTAATATGAACGGAAAAATAGACATAAATGACAAAACTTGCTTGATCCTAACGTACTCATCGTTACTAGCTCGAGACAACCGGCACATTCGCGGCCGCATTCGTCGCAACGCCACGTAATCATGTCACCACTACCTAAAGTTCCTCCACGTACTGTGCGTTTCAGTTCACGGTCCGCAACTACTGCTCATTGAACCTTCGGATACATGGCTTTGGCGCACATGGTGTCGAACACACACAGACAAGGCCTGAAACTAAAACATAACCAGGACGCATTTTCTTTACACTGTT